GGGTGGGTGGATGGATGGGTGCATAGGTGGGTGGGTGAATGGCTGGCAGGCTGGCTGGAGGGTTGGGTACAGGAATGGTTGGATAGATGGATGATTGGGCAAATGGATGGATGGATGGATGGATGGATGGATGGATGGATGATGGATGGGTGGGTAGATGGATGGGTGAGTAGATAGATAGGTGGGTGGATGAATGGGCGGATAAATGGATGGATGGAAGAATGGCTGAACGGACAGATAGCCATAAGTAATGTATCACCAAGGGAGCTGTCCCCAAAACACAGCAATGCCAGAAAGAATGAGCCCAGTGGGCTGGAGTAACCAGGAAACACTTCCTAGAGGGCAGAGATTTCAGCTGATCCTTGACTGAAGGGGGAGAATTGGGGTTCATACTCTGAACTAGACCAAGTGATGACCTGAGCAAGGGGCAAACTCTTCACCCTGCCTTGCTTTAAAAGGAGTAAGTCGGTTCTCAGTTTCTCCAGCTGTAAAATGGACATTTATCTCTGTCTTCTCTTTGTTGTGACCCACAAATACTGGGGAGATATGAGGGTGCTTGAGACGGTGCACTTTGAACCCCTCAGAACCTTCACACGAGGTGTGTGCATGAGCCCATAGCCCAGCATTTCTCACCTGGACAGCTCAACCTCATCCCTTCCACCCAACTGCCCTCGGGAAAGCAACCTATTTAAATATCACATCACTCCCCCTCACCAGCTCCCCACTGTACTTATCTGCCCTAGGACTTGGACTCTGCCCAAACTGCCCCCACTGGAGCACCGCCCGCCCCCCCCGCCACCTTGAGCCTCCTTTTTGCACCTTAACAGTCCATGTTCTTCCCTGCCTTCAGATTGGAATGTCCTCCACACACCCTTGCCAAGGGATGAATGAATGAATACATGGATTGTTTCTTAAAGCTCCCGCACATTGTGTGCCTCCTGCAAGTCAAGCTGTGTGTGCGCACTTGCACAACCTCTCCCTGAATGCTTACGGCAGATTTCAAGGACAGCTACTTTAACACTCAGATCAGAGGTGGGGCAGTGGCAGAGCTGAGTTCTGAACCAGGCTGCTCGCAAGGAGTTGCTTGGGAAAGCATGAGAGGCTCCTACAGAAAGTGACGGCCCGGGGACCAAACACACACACACACACACACACACACACACACACACACACACACACACCACACTGAGGTACCTAAGAGAGAGACACCATTTTTTCTCTGCAGAGGGCAGAGGGCTGGCTTCCTGACGTTCCCTTTTTCCCAATGACCAAGTGAACAAATCCCTCCCTCTCCCCTGCTCTGAGCCCTGGGGCCCAAAGCAGGAATTAGAACCCACGCCTGACCTTTTGGGGGTTTACCCTACAGTTGAGATGAGAAAACACTTGCCAGATGCCACAAGGACGTAAGCAGACACCGTCCGGGACTTCTAGCAATAAGTCATTGTGGAAGCAAAGGGGTTCAGCAGGGGCTCTCTGGAAGGGTTGAGAAACTGCAAAAGGGAGGCAATGGAGAAGATACCAAACTATAAAGAATCTAGAACAATAATAAACCTAATTTGAAATGGGCAAGACCTTTACAGAAAGAACTATAACAGTTTACTGAAGAACATACAAGAAGACCTGAATAAACACACAGGAACGCCCTGGTCATGAATGGAAAGGTTCACTGTAATCCAAGGTGTTGATTTTCCCCAAGGTAATCTATAATGTCAGTGTTCTTTCAACCAAAATTCCAAGACAATTTTTCATGGAACTTGATAAGCCAATTCACATGGAAGAGAAAACTACACCATGGCCAAGAAATTTTGAAAAGAACAAGGGTGCCTGGGTGGCTCAGTTATTTAAGCCTCTGCCTTCACCTCAGGTCATGATCCCAGGGTCCTGGGATTGAGTCCCGCATCGGGCTCCTTGCTCGGCAGGGAGCCTGCTTCTCCCTCTGCCTGCTGCTCCCCCTGCTGGTGCTCTCTCACTCTCTCTTTCTGGCAAATAAATAAAATTAAAAAAAATACCTTTAGAAAAAGAACAATGAGGGAGCCAGCCCTATCAGAATCTGTTACAAAGCTCTAGTAAATAATAGAGTGTGGTGTTGGTGTCGAGAGAGAGGGACGAACAACTGGAATTTTTTAGAGAGCCAGAAACAGTTATGTGGATGTGTAGGTATTTAGCATAGGATAAAGGAAACACTTTAGCATATGTGCTGCGGAAGTGAGCACTAAAGGAAACACTTTAAATCAGCCCAGGAACGATGAGCCATGTAATAAATGGTTTTAAGATATCCACCTGGGAAAAAATGAATCTAGACCTCCCCTCCCTCACACAATTCTCACACACCATCATGGCAATAATTTCTACATATACTAGAGACCTAAGCATATAAAAATCCTAAAAGTATTAGATAAAATGTAACAGAATGTGTTTATAACTTTGGGTAAGCACAGCCATCTTGAAAAAGACAAATAGGGGTCCCTGGCTGGCTCAGTCGGTGGGGCATGTGTTTGCCCCCTACATGGGGTGTACAGATTACTTTAAAAAAAATCTTGGGGCTCCTGGGTGGCTCAGTCGGTTAGGCGTCTGCCTTCGGCTCAGGTTATAATCCCAGGGTCCTAGGATCAAGCCCCACATCGGGCTCCCTGCTCAACGGGAAGCCTGCTTCTCTCTCTCCCACTCCCCCTGCTTGCGTTCCCTCTCTTGCTGTGTCGCTCTCTGTCAAATAAATAAATAAATAAAATCTTTTTAAAAAAAATCTTAAAAAAAGAGAGAAGAAAAAGAGGGGTATCAGGGTGGCTCAGTCGGTTAAGCAGCTAACTCTTGATTTAGGTTCAAGTCATGATCTCAGAGTCCTGGGATTGAGTCCCAAGTCAGGCTCCGCACTCAGCAGGGAGTCTGCTTGAGGATTCTCTCTTTCCCTCTCCCTCTGCCCCTCCCCCTGTGCTCACGAAATCTCTCTCTTTCAAAAAAAAAATGAATCTTAAAAAAACAAAAGGAAAAAGAAATATAATTCAGAATATTTCAACTGATAAAAGTTCTCCTCCCAAAATCGAGGATAAAGCTGAAGTAAACTGTAATAGGATACTCTAGACAGAATGAAATATTCTCAAATAAGCATTTGGGGATATGGGAAAACATCTCCAATTAGAAATACAAAAACTAATAAGAGAAACAGACTAAAAAAAAAAAAAGGAAGAAATGAAATGAGAATTGATCTCAGAGAAGAAAATAACAAAATTATGTCATAGCTGAAGTTTAAACAAGGAAGTGCCCAAGTGCCCAAGAGAGAATAGATTCAAATGAAAAGTTTACAGAGGACATTGAAGAAAAAGCGGAGAAGAAACCAAGAGAATGAGAGCTAGATAAAGAGATAAAAATGGTGAAGAGTTAAAGTCTCAGGCTGTAATCCAAGCAGACTTTCCAGAAATAAAAGCTCTGGATCCTCATACACATCGAAAGGACTCACCAGCTAGTATATGAAACTGACATTGAGTCATCAAACCTAAGATATATCCAAGTAGAGTTATTGCACTTTAAACACAGAAAATCAGGGACTCCAGGCAAAGATTTGAAATAAAGTTATAAAGGCAACAGAATTAGACTAACATCAGGCTTTAAAAAAAAAATAAGCTGCATTGTATGAGGTGCCTAGAACAGGCAAAATCACAGACAGAAACTAGAATAGAGATTACCGGGGGCTGGAGAAGGGGAAAGAGGCAGTCATTGTTTAATGGGTTTAGAGTTGTTGTCGGGGATGATGAAAGCATTTGGGGTATAGAGGTGCCTGGCTGGCTCAGTTGGTGAGGCATGAGACTCTTGATCTTGGGGTTGTGTGTTGGAGCCCCACGTTAGGTGTAGAGATTACTCAAACAAA